AGAGAGAGAGAGAGAGAGAGAGAGAGAGAGAGAGAGAGAGAGAGAGAGAGAGAGAGAGAGAGAGAGAACGGATCCCCTTAACACGGCTCAGACGCCCCATGCAGGCTATCTGAAGGGTCCTCGCAGACATGTAGCGCAGACCCCCTCACCAAAATCTAGGCAGGCAGTGAATATGAAATAGAACACGAGCTAGCCGAATATATACTCAAGATTCAAATTCAGGTCTGTTTTTCAGCAGTTATGGGTTGCTCACATTGCTAGGGCCTGTCGGTCTCTGCACGTGACTCTTAGGGCTTTGCTGCACTACTCACGAAATGTGCAAAATTAGAATGAATCTTCTGCAGAACATGGAATAATACGCCACCATATGTTTTGTCTTTTGTGCATTTGGTGAGTAAAGGCCCTTAGGGCCACTGCACATATTCGTAAGAAAAGAAAAACGAGAAAAGAAAAGAAAAGCGAGAAAACAGAGAAATGGTGACCCATAACCGACATGCACAGACCTGAATTCGAATCCCGCCTATATATTCTCTGCCCACTCTCAGGGAGTACAAATTTGATATATCTCTGCATGACGTTGGGTCCTAGCTAATATGCTGTAGGGATCCTTCCGAAAAGAGGCTGGACACAACTATGACATTTTTGTTTTTCTATTTTTTTAATGCGCCGTGCGTGCGTGCGGCACCCCGCGCATGAGATGCGCTGCAAGTATGATTCGAACACATCTCTCTCTCTCTCTCTCTCTCACACACACACACACACACACACACACACACACACACACACACGCACACAAAGGGGGTCCGAAATCCCCCGACAGGTGAGTGCGCTGGGGGGGGCCGGCCCCCAACCGGGTGCCCTGCCCGGCCAGGCCGCCCGGGACCTCCCCCGGGCCCCTGCCGGTCACCCGGGAGGCCCGGATCCCCACTCAGGTGCTTATACCATATATGGAGATTATACTGCAGGTTGAATCGCATGTTATACTGGAATCAGCTCTCGTCCTGTCGTGTGTTTTGTGTTGACTTCAACAGTGGGCGGCTCTCACATGTGTAGCCTCCATGTCCGAGGTCTCAATGCCTATGTGAACAACGATAAAGAAGATGGGCAGGGACAAAAATGAAGCAGTTCTGATTGGTCACCATTATCCCATGGAGATGCCTAGGCCATCTGAAACACTCGGGAGTATTCTCACTATTTGGACTGAATTTGGTTAGTAGTTGTGGCCTTATACATGCACAAAAATACAATTGTCAATTTATCAGTATGCCCCTAAGGCTTCTGACATATTGGCCATGCAGCTTCTGATTTTGTTGAATGCTCAGGCTATTGACCAGTCTTCACACTCTTTGATATTAGTTTTTTTTCCTTTCTTTTTTTTTAAATACAACCGTCTTCTCCCCATATATGGGGGACAACTGTATTTATTTTACTACGCTATTTTCTTTTCTCAATACGTCCTCGCACTAGCTACCCATCCAACCAAGAAAAGTATCAGACATCAATCCAAATCTAATAATCTATGCACCCCGGACACCACTTGCTAAGGTTATGGGTTAAGCCTCCTTAGTCTACCCAAGCCTATCTATCCTACTACGCAAAGGAGGGAATCATACATATCTATTATCTACTCTACTCAGTGCGGGGAGTAGTACCCAGGCTCCTAACCCCTAACACGGCATGGAAGGAGTGCATATCCCCTTACCAAGACCAACCAGGGGGCAAGCCAACTATCTCCACTGGTGAACCCGAAGTGTGCCACAGGGGGCCGTGGGAGTCGAACGGATGACGTGGGGAATCGAACCCTCAACATCCTGAATGCCACTTACGTGCTCTACCAACTGAGCTAGGCCACCAGCCCTCTTAGGTATTATCTTGATGGCAAGGTGATGCAAATAATGTGCAAAAAGACAGAGTAGATGTATCCTAATGTAGCATCGATGTCGACTGGTAGAAGTGATCTGCCGGCACGCCGATCAGACCCTGTACCTCACACCGTGTCTGTCACCCACGGGAGGGCCGATCCTGGCTCTTGTATCCTGCAAGTAAACGGTTAGTCCACATCCACATGAACAAAGACCGGTACCGATTGTGGACACAATAGTCCACCGTATGGAAGGAACAAAAAGTATGTTTTCATTTAGTCCAGAATGAACGGGTTCACTGCGCTACTCCCAACCCCAAAGATAAGTCATGTGTCCACGTCAGGGAAATCGGTCTGAGTCCCAAACGATCTCACCAACAACCTAGGGCGAGTCCTCCGCCCGATAGGACA